ACCGGGAGCCCGACGTGGGACACGATCCCGGGTCTCCAGGATCGCGCCCTGGGCCAAAAGCAGGCGCCAAACCGCTGCGCCACCCAGGGATCCCCTTGCCCTCCTTTTTTAAGTTCCTCCCTTTGTTGAGTCTGGCTAAAGGTTTATCAGTTTTGTTGTTTTCAAAGAACCAGGCCCTGGTTTCACTGATCTGTTGTTTTTCTATTTTGTTTATTTCTGTTCTTACTTTTATAATTTTCCTCCTCCTACTGGGTTTAGACTCTGTACTTCTTTTTCTAGGTCTTTTAGGTATAAAGTTAGATTGTTGAGTTTTTTGTCTTGTTTTTTGTTTTGTTTTTGAGTTAGGCCTGTATTGCTATGATTTCTTAGAACAAATTTTCCTGCATCCCAAAGATGCAGGACTCATTGTGTTTTTATTTTCATTTGTCTCCATGTATTGTTTTATTTCATCTTTGTTTTTGTTTTTTAATTTTTTTTAATTTATTTATGATAATCATAGAGAGAGAGAGAGAGAGAGAGAGAGAGAGAGAGAGAGGCAGAGACACAGGCAGAGGGAGAAGCAGGCTCCATGCACCGGGAGCCCGACGTGGGATTCGATCCCGGATCTCCAGGATCGCGCCCTGGGCCAAAGGCAGGCGCCAAACCGCTGCGCCACCCAGGGATCCCTATTTCATCTTTGATAATCTTGGTTGACCCATTTATTGTTTAGTAGCTTGTTATTTAACTTCCATGTATATTTGTTCTTTCCATATATTTTCTTGTGGTTGATTTCTAGCTTCATAGCATTTTGGTTGGAAAAGATGCATGATACAATTTTAGTATTTTTGAATTTGTTGAGACATGTTTTGTGGCCTGACATGAGTGACTATTCAAGGGTCTGTTCTCTGTGCACTTAGGGGGGAAAAAGTGTATTCTAGCTTAGTATGGAATGTTCTATATATATCTGTTAGATCTGTCTAGTCTAGTGTGTCATTCAAACCCATTGTTTCCTTGTTGATTTTTTTTAAGATTTTATTTATTCATGAGAAACAGAGAGAGAGGCAGAGGTACAGGCAGAGGGAGAAGCAAGCTCCATGCAGGGAGCCTGACGTGAGACTCGATCCTGGGTCTCCAGGATCAGGCCCTGGGCTGAAGGCGGCGTTAAACCACTGAGCCACCTGGGCTGCCTTGATTTTCTGTTTCTATGATCTGTTCATTAATGTAACTGGAGTGTTGTAGTTCCCTACTATTTCTGTATTACTATCAATTTTTTGCTTTATGTTTGTTAATAGTTGCTCTATGTATTTGGGTGCTCCTGTTGGATGCATAAATATTTATTGTTACAGCTTTTTGTTGGGTTGTTCCCTTTATGATTGTGTAGCATCCTCTTTTTTTTTTTATTAAAAGATATATTTACTTATTTTAGAGAAAGAGCACACACGTGTGTGAGGGGGGGTGGGGGTGGGGAAGAGAATCTTCAAGAAGACTCTCCACTGAGTGTGGAGCCTGAAATGGGGCTCAATCCCAGGACCTCGAGATCATGACCTGAACCAAAATCAAGATTCTGCATCTCAACCAACTGAACCACCCAGGCACTCCTCTTTGTTTGTCTTTATTTTAAAGTATATTTTGTCTGATAGAAGTATTGCTATCTCAGCTTTCTTTTAGCTTTTGTTTGCATGAAAATTGCTTTTTCATCCCTTCACTTTCAACATATATTTGTCTCTGCTTCTGAAATGAGTCTCTCTCTTTTTTTTTTTTTTTAAAGATTTTATTTATTTATTCATGAGAGACACACACACACAGAAAGACAGAGGCAGAGACACAGGCAGAGGGAGAAGCAGGCTCCATGCAGGGAGCCTGATGTGGGACTTGATCCCAGGTCTCCAGGATCGCGCCCTGGGCCAAAGGCAAGCACTCAACTGCTGAGCCATCCAGGGATGAAATGAGTCTCTTGTAGGCAAGTATAGATTTGTCTTGCTATTTTTTATCCATTCTGTAACCCCATGTCTTGAATGGAGTGTTTAGTTCCTTTACATTCCAAGTAATTACGATTGGTATGTACTTATTGCCATTTTGTTACTTGCTTTATGGTTGTTTTAGTAGTAGTTCTATTGCTCTTTTCTCATGGTTTGCTTTCTTTAGTGATATACCTGGGATTCCTTTTTCTTTATTTTTTGCATATGAATTACAAGTTTTTGATTTGTGGTTACCATTATAGGTGTATACATGACATATTCTGCATATAGCAGTCTCTGTTAAGTTGATGGTTGCCTAAATTTGAATTCTAAAAGCACTAAATTTTTACTTCTCTTTCTCCCATGTTTCAGGTATATAGTGTCATACCTTGCATCTTTTTGTGAATCCCTTGACTGATTTTTATAGATATGCTGAATTTCATTGCTTTTGTGCTTCTTAATTTTCTTCCTCCTGCTTATGGTCTTTCCTTTCCCACTCACACAGTCCCCTTTAATTTGTCTTGTAAGGCTAGTTTAGTAGTGATGAATTCTTTTAATATGTTTGTCTAGTAAATTCTTAATCTTTCCTATCCTTAATGGCAGACTTGCCATTAAGTCACTGTGAAGTGGTGCTGGCTTCTATTGGAGTTGTTTGCACACTGCCATGCTTGTGGCGCTGCTTTGAATGGACTCTGGTAACGATATTTTGGAGGCTGGGAATCTGCAGAACATGGGGGTAGGGTGCAGTGCCCTTAAAGTCTCTGCCAGTCTGCTGTGTGAGGCGAACTGCAGCCACCTAGGAAGACCATGGAGGCGGAGATGGAAGGGGTGAGTCCACAGAAGGACACGGGCCTGCCTGCACTGTTAGGAAGCTAGAGGGTGTTCAACTGCGCTGGGTCCCATAGATGTCCCTGTATCTACGCTGTGGTTTTGGATGTTGGATGACACTCACCAGCTCCTTTGCTCTTGAAGACATCTTCCAAAGATTCCTGCCCCTCAAGCACCCACTCTGAAATTAGTAAATCTTGTATTCCCCAGGCATTTTTGGAACTGCTGAGTCTGTGCTGTATTTCAGTGGGGTTGTTTGTTGTGCTTTTTTTTTTTTAAGACTTTATTTATTCATTCCTGAGACACACACACACACACACACAGGCAGAGACACAAGCAGAGGGAGAAGCAGGCTCCACGTAGGGAACCTGACGTGGGACTCAATCCCAGATCTCCAGGATCAGGCCCTGGGCTGAAGGCAGCACTAAACCCCTGAGCCACCCAGGCTGCCCAGTTATGCTGTCTCTTTAAGGGCAGAGGTTCAGTTTACTTTTACTGTCCTGCTCTCCCAGAGCCTAGGTCACTGATTTTTAAAATTTTAGGTGCTAAGGCCCACTGGTTGAAAGAACTTGCTAAATCAGACCCCCTTGGTCTTCTGAGTCAAATGGTAAGAGGATTTGTTGTCTTTGGGCAGGTTCTCATGTCTGAGGTGCCTGGAGAGAGCATCTGCTTTATTCCTCTCTCTTCGCCCTTGGCACCCTTCTGTGGACAGTCCTATGGGTCTTTTTGGCTCTAGACCGCAAGTCCACCTTCCTGCCCTCCTCAATGTGATCTCTTCTCTACATTTAGCTGTGGAGCGCCTATTCTGTCAGGCTTCAGTCACTTTCTGGGTTATTTACACTGATGCAGGTATTACCTAGTTGCATGCATGGGGAGAGGTGAGCCCAGGATCCTCCAATTCCACCATCTTCCCAGAAGTCGTGAAATGCAGATTTTTTATTGCTTTTGTATTATGCAACTTTACCAACCTTTTTAGTTCCAATAGTTTTTTCCATAGTCTGTAGAGTTTTCTGTATTAAGATCATATCACCTGGGATCCCTGGGTGGCACAGCGGTTTGGCGCCTGCCTTTGGCCCAGGGCGTGATCCTGGAGTCCCGGGATCGAATCCCACGTTGGGCTCCCAGTGCATGGAGCCTGCTTCTCCCTTTGCCTATGTCTCTGCCTCTCTCTCTCTCTCTCTCTCTCTCTCTCTATCATAAAAAAAAAAAAAAGAAATGTTAAAAAAAATAAATCTTAAAAAAAAAAAAAGATCATATCACCTGTATAGAGAGACAGTTTTACTTCTTGTTTTCTAATTTGGATGCCTTTTATTTTTTTCTTCCCTGATTTTTTGGCTCAGATTTTCAGTATTATGCTCAATAGTGAGTGGCAAGAGTGCCACTATAATTTGAGAGTTTTTTTAAATCACCAAAGGATGTTGAATTTTGGCCAGTGTTCTTTCTGCATCTATTAAAATGATGAGAGTTATAGACTTTCTTCTAGTAATGTATCACAGTGGTTGATTTGCATATGTTGAACCTTCTTTGTATCCCAGTGATAAATATCACTTGATCATGGTGAATTGTCCTTTTATTTTTTAAAGATTTTTACTTGAGAGAGAGAACATGGTGGGGGGGTGAGGGGGAGGGCAGACGGAAAGGGAGAAACAGACTCCCTTCTGCTTTACATGGACTTTTTATGAAATGATCTTGTAAATGTATTTTAAGATTTCTTAACATTTTCTTCTTTCTAGCTTACTTTTTGTAAGACTGCAGTATGTAATAGATGTAACATACAAAATATGTGTTGACTTATTGAAAAGGCTTCTTAAGAGTAGGCTATTAGTAGTTCAGTTTTTGGTGAGCAAGTTACAAGTGGATTTTTGACTTCATGGGGGGGGGTTGGCACTTTTACCCCAACATTGTTCAGTTGTACTTAATGCCAAGTAGAAAAGTTAGGGGAAAACGATAGCTACCAAAAAATGGGGCAGGACTGTGGAAGATCCAGCTCCTTTAGAAATGCAGACCTGGGTCACAGGAGAGGTGCTGGCAAGGACCAGAAGCACATATATATGTAACAGGTATTGTTGAGGTGCCAGTTACTGTCTTCTAGTTCCACCCTGTCCTTTACTTGGCATCCATGTTCTGCTTTGCCAGCTGGCTCTGTGTTAGCCAATAAAGGATGCTAGACAGAAACGGTAGACTGCAGAAGAGGGGGGATTAACTGACTCCTTACTGTCTTTTCACTTCTCACAGCTTCATTCTCATGACGATCCTTCACGCTTGCAGTGGCGGTTCTTCCCGAGAGCAGCAGTCAAACCCAGTTTGCAGCTTTTCCAACACATGCAGAAACAGGTACACTGTGTCAGCCCCAGCCATCACCCCACAGAGCTTATCCAAACCTAGAAATTCCATTACTGGCCAGGTGGCAGCCTTTCCCAGGAAAACTGCATTCATTCCCTCAGCCCAGGGAAACTGTATTCAGTACCTTGGAGTTCTCAGCTGTGGTCCTGTGATCAGGATTGTCCCTTTCTCCTGGGAACTTGCTAGAAGTGTAGATATTTTGAAGCACCACCTGGTCTACTAAGTCCATAACTCTGATGTGTGATCAGGAATCTATGCTTAACAAGCCCTCCACCTGAGCCTAATGAATGCTGAAGTTTGAAAACCAGTGCCTTCGAGTTCTCAGTTCAGTCTTGGTTGCCTAGTTAATAGTTATCATTTAAAAAAAAAAAATTTCATTCTGTTTAAATAACTGGTGTGGGACACCCTTATAGAGTAGCGTTCTGCCAAAATGCATAAAGAAGTGTCAACAACCAAGTTTTCTTAAACTCTTTGAGAAAATGGAAGAGGGAACTTTTCCCATGTCATTCTGCATGACACATTACCACAGATATCACTAGCAAAGATCAGTAGCCCCTAAGAACACAGATGCAAGAATCCTAAAACAACAACAAAAAATAGTACTTTGCATCCAGCAGCATATTAAAGTGGTTATGCACCATGACCAAGTGGGATTTATCTCAGTAATTAATGAAAGGGGGATCATCCTATGAAGATCAATCTGTGTAGACACCACATTAATAGAATGAAGAATAAAACACAATCATCTCAATGCAGAAAAAGCATTTAACAGAATCTGACATCTTTTCCTAATTAAAAACAAAAAGAACAGTACTCAACAAACAGTACTCACAAACTCAAACAAAAAGAAAAGAGGGTAACTTCCTACAACATGATGAAGGGATTCTATGAAAAACCTCCAAATAGTATCATACTCAGTGATGAAAAGCTGAAAGCTTTCTCCCTTAAATCAGGAACAAGACAAGTATGCTTGCTTTTGCCACTGCTCAACCATAAGTTTTAGCAAGAAAATTAGGCAAAAATAACTAAGAAATACCTAACTGGAAAGGAAGAACGTATATCTGTTTGGAGATGACACGATCTAATATACAGTAAACCCGAATAAGTCCATAGAAAAAGAACTACTGGCACTAATAAGTTCAGCAAAGCTGCAGGATACACCGTAAACACAAAAATCCATTGTATTTCTGTACACTAGCAATGAACAATCTGAATGGAAAGATACCGTATGGCCGTAGGAGGGCTTAAATACTGTTCACATAGCAACAGTACCCAAAGTGATCTATGGGTTCAGTGCATTCTCTATCACAATAGCAACTGCTTTTCCTCCCTCTCCAGAAATGGAAAAGCTGATTTTAAATTTCATATGAAATTTCACATGAAATGAGAGACACTGGATAGCAAAACAATCTTTTTTTTTAAGATTCTATTTATTTTTTTTTTAATTTTATAAATTAATGTTTATTGGTGTTCAATTTACCAACATACAGAATAACACCCAGTGCTCATCCCGTCAAGTGTACCCCTCAGTGCCCGTCACCCATTCACCCCCACCCCCCGCCCTCCTCCCCCTCCACCACCCCTAGTTCATTTCCCAGAGTTAGAAGTCTTTATGTTCTGTCTCCCTTTCTGATATTTCTCACACATTTCTTCTCCCTTCCCTTATATTCCCTTTCACTATTATTCATATTCCCCAAATGAATGAGAACATACACTGTTTGTCCTTCTCCGGTTACTGTGGCCAAGTTCAAAAAGGGTGTTGCCTGAGTTCTCCTCTGGGATTTTGATGGAATCTTGTCTCACATTTAGATCTTTCATCTATTTTGAGTTTATCTTTGTGTATGGTGCAAGAGAGTGGTCCAGTTTCATTATTCTGCATGTGGATGTCCAATTTTCCCAGCACCATTTATTGAAGAGAGTGTCTTTCTTCCAGTGGATCGTCTTTCCTCCTTTATCGTATATTAGTTGACCATAAAGTTCAGGGTCCACTTCTGGGTTCTCTGTTCTGTTCCATTGATCTATATGTCTGTTTTCGTGCCAGTACCACACTGTCTTGATGAACACAGCTTTGTAGTACAACCTGAAATCTGGCATTGTGATGCCCCCAGATATGGTTTTCTTTTTTAAAATTCCCCTGGCTGTTTGGGGTCTTTTCTGATTCCACACAGATCTTAAAATAATTTGTTCTAAGTCTCTGAAGAAAGTCCATGGTATTTTGATAGGGATTGCATTATACGTGTAAATTGCCCTGGGTAACATTGACATTTTCACAATATTAATTCTGCCAATCCATGAGCATGGAATATTTTTCCATCTCTTTGTGTCTTCCTCAATTTCTTTCAGAAGTGTTCTGTAGTTTTTAGGGTATATTTTGAGAACCATTTGAATGGTAAATGGTTCTCCAACCTTTTATTTTCAGGTTGTAGGTGTCCTTCTGTCTAAAATGAGTCTCTTGTAGACAGCAAATAGATGGGTCCTGCTTTTTTATCCAGTCTGAAACCCTGCGCCTTTTGATGGGGTCATTAAGCCCATTCACGTTCAGAGTTACTATTGACAGATATGAGTTTAGTGTCATCATGATATCTATTTAGTCCTTGTTTTTGTGGATTGTTCCACTGAACTTCTTCTTAAAGGGGAGTTTTAAGAGTCCCCCTTAAAATTTCTTGCAGAGCTGGTTTGGAGGTCACATATTCTTTCAGTTCCTGCCTGTCTTGGAAGCTCTTTATCTCTCCTTCCATTTTGAATGAGAGCCTTGCTGGATAAAGTATTCTTGGTTGCATGTTCTTCTCATTTAGGACCCTGAATATATCCTGCCAGCCCTTTCTGGCCTGCCAGGTCTCTGTGGAGAGGTCTGCTGTTACCCTAATATTCCTCCCCATGAAAGTCAGGGACTTCTTGTCTCTTGTTGCTTTAAGGATCTTCTCTTTATCTTTGGAATTTGCAAGCTTCACTATTAGATGTCGAGGTGTTGAACGGTTTTTATTGATTTTAGGGGGGATCTCTCTATTTCCTGGATCTGAATGCCTGTTTCCCTTCCCAGATTGGGAAAGTTTTCAGCTAGGATTTGTTCAAATACATATTCTGGCCCTCTGGCCCTTTCGGCGTCCTCGGGAACCCCAATTAAACGTAGGTTTTTCTTCCTTAGACTGTCATTTATTTGCCTTAATCTGTCTTCATGGTCCCTTAATTGATTGTCTCTTTTTTCCTCAGTTTCCCTCTTTGCCATTAACTTGTCTTCTATGTCACTCACTCGTTCTTCCACCTCGTTAACCCTCGTCGTTAGGACTTCTAGTTTGGATTGCATCTCATTCAATTGATTTTTAATTTCTGCCTGATTGGATCTAAATTCTGCAGTCATGAAGTCTCGTGAGTCCTTAATGCTTTTTTCTAGAGCCACCAGTAGCTGTAGAATAGTGCTTCTGAATTGGCTTTCTGACATTGAAGTGTAATCCAGATTTTGTAACTCTGTGGGAGAGAGGGCTGTTTCTGATTCTTTCTTTTGAGGTGAGGTTTTCCTTCTAGTCATTTTGCTCAGTGCAGAGTGGCCAAAAACAAGTTGTATTGGAACACGGGGGAGTATCACTGGTCCGTCCAGCTGGTCTTCTGGGGAGGGGCCTGCTGTGCTGATTTTCAGATGTTAGCACTTGGGGGAGCTGCTCTGCCCCTGCCTGCTGCAGGGCTCAGCGGGGGTTGTTTACCCCGTGGGGCCCCAGGAGGAACAACCGCAGTTGCTATGGCAACTCTGGAAGCCTGGATTCAGCCTCCGCAGGAACTACGGGGCTCGGGGCTCTCGGCTCTCGGTTCTCCGTCCGCTGGGCCTGGAGGCTCCGGGGCGGGGCCGCTGATCTGCTCAGCTCGGGGCAGGAGCGTCCTTGCTGTCCTGGGCCCTCCCGGCCTCTGCCTGTCCCGGGGGAGGCCGGATCCTGGGCTGTGTCCCGGCGCCCTGTGCTCCGGGGCCTGCGCTGTTGGATTCGCGCTCCCGCCCTGCAGCTCCCTCCCTGGAGCCGCTCCATTTCAGGATGGTTTGAAGGTTATCTAGGTAATTTGGTGGGGACAGGCGATTTGGGGACCCTGCTCTTCTGCCATCTTGCCCCTCCCCCCTATTTATTTATTCAGAGAGAGAGAGAGGCAGAGACACAGGGAGAGGGGGAAGCAGGCTCCATGCAGGGAGCCCGATGTGGGACTTGATCCCGAGTCTCCAGGATCACACCCAAGGCTGCAGGCGGCGCCAAACTGCTGCGCCACCAGGGCTGCCCGCACAACAATCTTTAAAGAGCAAAGTTGGAGGACTCATACTTTATGATTTCAGAACTTTTCTTTTTTTTTTAATCTTTATTTATTCATGAGAGAGAGAGGCAGAGGGAGAAGCAGGCTCCATGCAGGGAGCCCGACGCAGGACTCGATTCCAGGTCTCCAGAATCAGGCTCTGAGCTGAAGGTGGCGCTAAACCGCTGAGCCACTCGGGCTGCCCTGATTTCAGAACTTTCTGTTTAACAATAGTAGCTATCAAAATCCTGTGGTATTGGCATAAGGACAGACCAGTGGGGTAGAATTGAAAGTCCAGAAACAGACCACACACGTCATTGTTCATCAGATTTTTGACAGTGGTGCCAACAACTTTCAGGGGCAAAGAATCTCTTTCAACAAGTGATGTTGACCTTACTGAATATTCATGTACCTCTGAACTGTTCTGATTCATTCAGAATATTGAAATCTGCCTCAGATCACATATAAAAAGTGATTAAAGATGGGTCAAAGACAAATATTAAAGGTCAAAGTATAAAATCCTTAGAATATATGGTGGGCAGATTTTCATGACTTTGTATTTGGTAATGGATTCTTATATACCAAAAATATAAGCAACATTTTTAAATTCTGATGAAACTTTTTTTAAAAAAGATTTTATTTTAGAGAGAAAGAGACAGTGGGGGGGGGGAGAATCTGAAGCATGTAACCCAACATGGGGATCGATCTCACAACCCTGAGATGCC